AAAAGATGCATAAAAAACTATATAATGAACTGAGCTGCAAATTCCTGAAAATTAATGTCCTGATTATTCTCCCTTATTCATCAGGGAAAGCAAATTCAAGCCTGGCTGCAGACCGGAAAAATAATGAGGTGCATTCTTTCTCGCCAGCGCTTTATTTTATTTGCACAAGTATATGACGTTAGCTGTAGAACGTGTATTTGTCAGTCGGAAGAAGCGTTATACGTTATGTGAAAATGTAGGGGAATTTTTAAAAGTTCTTTAATAGAATATTATTATGTTATACTATTATTTATTGTATAAGTGACAGATATTCATATGCGTTCCGAATATGATGGCAACAATGCTACAAGGGCTGTTATTAACGGAAAGGGAGTTAAATGTGATAAAACAAAAAACGAGATGTCTATTACTATAAATGTAAATGTTAATGTCAGTAAGTAAATAAATTAAATTTGATTTATTATAGGTTTATTAGTTTTTCATTATTCTACTAGTGAAATAGTTACTTTATTCCACTAGTGGATAAAGTATCATTTTAGACGGTTCTTGTGTGGATAAAAGTCCGATTATAAGATGATTGTGTATAAAAATATTTATTTTAATGACTTTCAATAATGTATACTAGTAGAAAAAGGCATTCAAGTTAAGTAATTAATTACAAATAATGATTTTCGAATTATTGAAAAAACCCATTACATTTACATGGAAATATAATCATTTAACATCAATATCCCTTGAAACATATCATATTTATTGCAACGAGAGATTGTACAGCTGAAAGTTTCGAGGCTTTGCCAAGCTTTTATTTATTATTGGAAGCGGGCGTTTTGTATACTTTTTTGCTGATCAATTCTCGAATTACAGTAAATTGCCTGAGGGAATATTCAAATACAAACAAAATGCCGTTAATACGCGAAATACGGAACTATACTATATCCACGTTTAAAATAGGACAAATAGTCTCATATTTTAAAACGCGATCTCTGAAATAATTGGTATTTATTTTGGTCTTATATGTCGCAGATGTTGTTCCGACCCAAATAGATAGATAAAATACTTGGCAATAACAGCAATAATAAAATATTGAAGTTTATTGATGGTGCATAAGAAGTAAACAAAGTCGTTCGGATGGGATAAAAGTTGAAAATATAGTAATAAAGGTGAAGACGAGAAGTTCTGTAAAGGTAATTGTTTTTTTTATTGCAGTTAAGTGAACAGCAATACATTACCTTACGAAACCTTACCTACTAAATTAAATTATTACTTTATAGGCAACAGACGAAATATTTACTTGCTGTAAGAAAGAAATTGGACACCTATATCTTTATGTTGTCCTTGCAAACTATGTAGTAGGTGTTCCGGTTTTGATTGTCGCAAATATAGATACTGGTAATGTTACCACCAATGCAAGTTCAATATTTTTATTAGAGTCAAATTACAGAAACAATTTTAAATTTAAAAACTGAATATTCCAATGGTGAAGATAATATAAGGAATATTATACTTAAAAAATAGGTGTTTTAATTCTTGAACCGTTGTACAATGGGTACCTACATGAACCCATAAGAAATGCACAATTCACAAAAATTAGTAGGAATTTCTTTTCTGGAGTTAGACATGCCTAGATTTATTACGTCGACTTGACTTTGACAAGATCTCTTGTGAAATTTGTTTGAATTAGTCCAATACTTTTACAATAGATTAAAAATGGTCACTTCTGTGACTTCTGTGATTTTATTGCTCAGACATTAAAATATGTAAAGTTCCATCGCATGTAAATGGTGTAAAAACACTTAATCTATTCCAATTTATATTATGTTTTTTTAACTTAACTCACAACTAAAATGTAAGAGAAAATTTTTATTGAGCTCAATACCTTTAAATTAAATTCCATATCCAATTTCTGAGGATTGTGATCCGATCATTTTTAATTTTCCTGATTTTTTTTATATTATTTACTACCCGTTTAGAGTTGTTTTCATAATTTTTTAAAAATTTTTATTTCAACCGCTCTAGAAGTTGAGCATTTGACTATTTTGGGTAAAAAATTTTCAAATACTTGCAATTTGGCAAAAACCAAAGATATTTTTTTTTCATTTTGTTCGTTTTGAGATGTAGTTTAAAAAATATATAAAAATAATATATTTTTAGATTCTTTTTTTTTAATTTTTAAACGACAAAAGTGCTTTTTGAAAGTGAGCCGTTATTTATTTTCTTCAAAAAATTTGGAAGCAAATCGTTGTTCAATATCCTTTATGAGACAAGTTCTGGAGTGGAATATTTTTTTATTTTTTTTTTTCATATTCATTTTTTTATTTTAATTTTTTACGCTATTAAACCAATTTTTTATACCGAGTGTCCCAGAATAATAATAAATAGGAGACGTTAAAATAAATTTTCAAATACCTGTAACTTGACAAAACTAGATATATATATTTTTTTAATTTTGTTCGTTTTGAGATGTAATGTTATAAAAAAGAGTATAAAAATAACACATTTTTAGTTTTTTGAGTTTTTTTAGTTTTTAAACAAAAAAAAGTGCTTTTTGAAAACGAGTGGCGTTTTTTATCTTCGAAGAATTCTCAAAAATCGTCTTCAATATGCAAATTTATGATACAGGTTCTAGAGTGGGATCTTTCTTTTTTCTATTTTTTCGAATTAATTTTTTTTTGTATTTAAATTTTTTATAGATAATATACGCTATTAAACCAAAATTTATTATACCGGGTCCGCCATTAGTGTGTTGACGGAGGATAGCTCCTAAGTTTAAAGAGATATCAAAATGAAATTTTGTCCAGGGAGCACATTTTAAAATTATTTGCAGTTTTGTGTACTAATCATATATGCATTGCATTTTTGTAAATAGAACACCCTGTATATTTTCTCATATTTAGATAGCCCTATCAAACTTTAGCAAAATAATATAGGGTGTATGGGCGTTGCGATGGCCCGTTTTCCTAGTAGAGGCTCATGAATCCGAAAACAGACTACGATACAGCCATTTGTAAACACTCAGTATAATGTCGTTTTAACAAATCTGCGACATAAACAATCATTGATTGTTTAAATTTTCTTAGAAACCACAGAAGTGTTGTCACTATTCTTTAGTTATACAGAGTGATCGAGGTTTGCAAATTCAAAAATTACTAAATTTTTTTAAATGGAATGGCCTATTTTTACCAGCTAATATGAAAAATAGGAACTATCTTTCCAACAATACCATATTATGTGGGATTACTTCTGATTTCTAAAATTCGAAATAAATTTATATAGTTAAATAGTTATTAGTAAAATTGTATATTTCGCATTAATTTTATATGTGCATTTACATTTTTTTATGAAATACTCCATTGATACTTTCACTGCGACATATTTTTTTTATTTCTTCATTCCTAATAGTTAAAAATAGATCATAATTATTAAGATTTGACATTGAGTTTATAAATATATTGTGTTTTGTAGAAGAAGACATTTTTTACAACTTTTGTTTTCAGGGTTATGGCCTAAAAATTCATTAAGACCGGCACTGCATGTCACCTTCTCGAAATGTGGGTAGTCAATAAATAAATTTACGTTCAGAACAGCGATTTAAAAAAAATGTTACCTGTTCCCTTCATGCCGTCTCTGACTTATTGCCAATATCGGGCTCGTCTGTGTAATTTATGATTTTCTCCCGCCGCAAATTGGATATTTTCCAAGAGGCCGGATCCCCCCTAAATATGATTTTCACAGGTGAGGCTCAACCTTGAGCGTTCAACGAACTGTCGGATACATTGAGTTTTCCCGCTCGCGATGCCATTAGTCGCTGTTACTTAATGTACACCGTTCCCTGTAATTGCTGAAAATTATCTTCGAAATGCGTCGGTGGTGTCGAAATTTAATGAGGATTAGCCCGTACCCAGCGGGAATCTTGCGAATGATTTGCGAGGAGTGCAACAAGGAGTTACAGCAAAATAGAAGGGGAGTATCATATTCCTGATATTGACCAGATTTCCACTTTGTGCAATGCTCCGCTTGTTGCTTAATCATAGTGGTCACCACCTGTACAGATATTACTATAAAATTAAATAATGTGGTCAAAAATGTGACTAGTATTTGTTTATTTGTGCAAAGAATCATTATTTAACTGGCAATTCAAAAAATGCAGTAACGAAATAAATTTGGCGGGCAATTGTGATAAGCGGCGTTCGTGTTTACACATTCATTTGAACAATATTCGTTTTATTTCCCATTATTAGTAATTTTATTATNAATTCAGCGAATTTGACCGGGACCCAATTTCCATAAGATTTGTGTGGGGTCCTTTGCTTATTGAAAGACGATTTGTTTGAGAATTTTTTGAAGAAATAATAATTTTTTGGTTTAAAAGTCAAAAAAGCTCAAAAAACTAAAAATGTATTATCTTTATATTATTTTTTTATAAAACTACATCTCAAAACAAACAAAATGAAAAAAAAGTTTAGGATACCTTTCATTTTCGCCAAGTTATAAGTATATGAAAATTTTTTATCCAAACTATTCAAATGCTTATAACTTATTGCGGGGTGGAAATAAAAATTTGAAAAAATTCATGAAAGCTACTCTAAATGGGTACTAAATAACACCAAAAAATCAGGAAAATTAAAAATGACCGGGTCACGACTTCAGTGATTTGGAGTGGTATTCCACAAATACAAGTCATTGAAACAGAATATGTAATTAAAAAAAATATTTCTTATTGAGAACGTGGACAAAGTTGTTCATTACACAGAAACCACTTAACACGTAATCGATGGAGATTACTGAGAGCCGTAATTGAATAAAAAATTGCTAACGCCCTAAATACCTTTGATGTGCGCATTGAACAATATAATTTTAAAACACCCAAACACAAAACCGAATTTTGAAAAGGTTGTCAAGCGGACTTTAATTTGGCCGAGGGATGAAAGGCTTTACTCGCATTTTTCCCAACTGCGAGAGTACAGAACGTCCCCTAATATCGCCCCCTCTCTTTGTTTCAGCTATCACCCTAATCGGCCAATCACGATGAAATAATGGGAAGGCAAAACGGCACTACTTGTCCCGTTGACTCGCCCGGCAATTTCAGCACGATCTTCGGCCAGACCGCTGTCCCGGAATGGGAGGCAGCGCTAACTATCGGGACCCTCTCGTTTTTCATCCTCCTCACCATAATCGGAAACATTTTGGTGATCCTGAGCGTGTTCACATACAAACCCCTCAGGATCGTGCAGAATTTCTTCATAGTCTCCCTGGCTGTGGCGGATCTAACCGTCGCCATCCTCGTTCTTCCCCTCAACGTCATTTACTCCGTTCTTGGAAAATGGATCTTCGGTAAGTCGTACAATTCCCAGTTCCTGTAATTATGTTTAAATTATGCCTTATTGCGCTGTCGTTCACGTAGGAGCTTTGTTAATACCTTTTGCCTTACGTGTCACACATGTATTCATTAAGGAAAATCCAAGCCAAGAGAATGTTAACATTTAAGAAAATAATATTCTAGAATCGACAAGACAGTAATCAATTTTGTAATTTAGGTTCATACAGTAGATCTTGTAAAGTGAGAAGTAGATATTTTTTAATCCTCTGCCAATACAGGGTGTCTCGAAATTCATGCAACAAAATTTGGTCACAGATTCTTAGGACAAATTTAGGGGACCCGTATTTTTTTATTTTTGACAAGTTGCCCCCTCTTTCGGAGTTACAGCCCCCTGAATTCCGCCCCTAAGAATAATATTTTTTTATATCTCAGAACCCTGTTGTACGAGAATCACTAAATTTGGTACACAGGGGTCTTATGACATTTGGAATCTGATATTGCAACGTTTTTTGGCGGGGAACCCCCTTAAGACAATTTTTCGTGGGCCCCCTTTTCTTTGGAGCCAAAAAAATTTGGTCGCATAATTAAATTTCTTAAAATCAGTCCACTAGAAAGCCATTAAATTTAGAAACTTTGTCTCTTTATACTTTTTTCGTTAAAGGCAGTGTTATCGAGAAAAATGTTAAAATGTGATCGAATGCATATCGTAATTCGCCATTTTCCTCAAAAACATTGCATTTTACGAAACAAATATAGACAAAAAAGTTTCTAAATTTGTTTCTAGCTAACTAATAATTAAAAAAAAAATCAAATGCGACCAAATTTTTTTGGTTCCAAAGACAAAGGGGCCCACGAAAAAGTGTCTTAAGGGGGTTTCTCGCCAAAAAGCGTAGTACTGTGAGATTCCATATGTCATAAAACTCCTGTGTACCAAATTTAGTGATTCTCGTACAACATGGTTTTGAGATATAAAAAATACTTCTTCGGAGCAGATTTCAGGGGGGTGTAACTCCGGAAGAGGGGGCCAGTTGGCAAAAAGATAAAATACGGGTCCTCTAAATTTGTCTTAAGAATCTGTGACCAAATTTTGTTGCATGACTTTCGGGACACCCTGTATTTCGCTGCAGTTTTCAATTTTGAAACAGTGATCCAAAAGAATATCAAGATATACTGAATATAAGAAGATAAGTGATATTCATAATTACACGATCTCAAAAATCTTTTGATGGAAGCTGAAAACAGACATATTATAACAAAGTTAATGATATTCTTGGAATGAATAAGAAAAGAGTATGTTTTCTAAAAATATCAAATTTACTCCCTAGTCATTAGAATCGTTTTTACTGCCGCTAAATTAAAAATTAAAATTTGTTCTTTAACGAAAGTAATTTATTGTAAACATTTATGTATAGTGAAATTAGAACAGCTTATCAGGGATATCCCTTGTCCTTGTTCGCAAATTCAATACCTATGCATGTGTTCAGCCACAAAAATTGGATAATTCCGAAAATTTCGAATTTTCACCCTCAAGAACGGCGGTGACAACATTTTTAACATTAAGGCGATGTTTCGCATTGTATTAGCTATGTCCTGTACTTTGGTTAATGCAACTCTCTCGGTTTCGCAAATTCAATACCTATGCATGTTTTCAATTTTACATTTGACTAACAGATTGTATTGCTTATTCAAATATTTGGATAATTTGGTAGGTTCAAGTAATTTACTTTAAAGTTATCAGTTTGATTGTTATTTACGAATTCGTACGGTGAGATTTTTAAATTGGCCAATTTTTAGAAGTACGAAACTCGCGTAACGCATTTATAACGAGCGTTCAAATAAAAACGTGGTCGAAGTTGGCTCTGACACATTGGACGTAGGGAGTAGCTTATAGCGACCAACTTAACCTCATTTCTCAACGAGCTGTATAGCAGCTGTCAGTTTCAATAACGTTAATGACTATATAACTTTATTTTAAAGAATAATCGTGATAACAATAACAAACAATTAAAGGAGCTGCGGAAAGTGTCCCCCTCCTTGTTATAACAATAAATTAAAGCAGCTGCTGAAAGTGTCCCCCTCCTTGTTCCAAGCACTTTTCACACCTGTTCCTCAAAGAATTAAAGACATTTTCTAAGATGCTCGGGGTATTGTTAATTTCACGAATCTTGTCTATAAGTCGAGCCTGCAGATGGTTTAAATCAGGAATAGGCAGTTCAAAAATAGTGTTTTTAAGGTAAGGCCACAAAAAGAAATCACACGGCGTAATATCACATGACCTCGGTGGAAATTCATGTTCAGCATTGAGACTTATTAGTCGATTTTGGAAAACTTCCCTCAACATATTCATCGTCTCGCCTGCCGTATGTGCCCTTGCGCCATCTTGTTGAAAGTAAAAGTTTGTAATTTCGTTTTCTTCCAGCTGGTTAACAAAAGGAGCGATAATTTCTTCTCTATACCTTTGCGCAGTAAGAGTACCATTAAAAAAAATAGGTCCATAAATCCTCCTTCGATTGAGAGCACACCAAACTCCAATTTTTTGAGCGTGTAGAGGGCCCTCGACAAAAAAGTTATCTGGTTTTTCAGAAGACCACATTCTCATATTCTGTGAGTTTACGTAACCACTTAAATGAAACCAGGCTTCATCAGAAAAAAAGGTGATATTATGAAGTTCACCGTAGTTGTTTAAAAACCATTCACAAAATACAGCCCGTCGCGGAAAATCAACTTCATGAAGTTCTTGCTGACAAGTTAAACGATAGGAGAACAAACGCAAATCTTTTTTTAACACTGTGTGGCAGGTACCGACTGATACTCCCACCATTTGTGATAAAACACGTACAGAAGTTCTTGGCGCATTTTCCATTATTTGTTGGACATTTTCTTTTAATTCTTCAGTCCGCTTTTTAGGTCGGCCGCTTCCTTCTTTTCTTGTTACACTGCCCGTTTCACGAAAAACATTAACACAACGCTGAACTGCACTTTGAAAAATTTTGTACTCAACAACGCCGGGAAATTGATTTTGAAATTCTATGAAACATTCCTCAATAGAATACTTCCATATTCCATCAATCTTGCGTCCATTTCTAAAGTAGGACTCTATGATAAACACTTTTTGTTCTTGAGAAAACACCATTTTAAACGCTTTTTAAAACGAAAATATTCAAATTGATAGCGGCGATATAGCGCTTTGACAGATGACGTTTAAGTTCATTTGCTATACGCTACGCCCTACGTCCAAATTTTCAGAACCAACTTGACCACGTTTTTATTTGAACGCTCGTTATATTGGTTTTGGAGATGCCTACCAGGTGACGTAATCCTCGTGATAGTCGATGTTGGATTTCAGGTGCGCTAGGTCGTAAAACTGGTCCCATGTACTTGATTTTCCAATGGTAAATAGGGTTTGCACTTCACCTGCTGTTGTATTTTCTCACTGCACTTCACTAATTTTTATTTGTCAATTTATACTTTGCACATTTGGTTAAATAACATTGTTCCCATAATATAAATTTCCAGTAGGTATTTGGTAGTTGAGAAAATTTTAACTAATGGAAGATTACACTTTTGGCAGATGGCAGATTACTTCTGAAAATCGTTGACGTTTCAAAACTGGTAACTGAATTCACCATTTATTTATTTAATTTTGACTTGCTTTTGTTTATTTTAGGAGTCACTACATTACATTGATGTATTCATCTAACCATTTTGCCTTTTTATTAAACAAACTTATTCTATATGTAAATTTTATCATTCATTTTCTCATGTCTAGTTTCACATCTCTATTGTCAGTTTTTCTCTACTTTTCTAGCCTAAATATGTCTAAATTTTCAACATTATGTTATTCTATTTATTAACGTTTATTTATTAACATTTAACGTTTCAACTTAGAATATCATAACAGTATGTTTTCTGCTGCGAAAACTAAATCATTCCATATATTTCGAATTATTTTCACCACCAAGAACGGCGGTTTAACATTTAGGCGATGTTTCGCATTGTTTTAGCTATGTCCTGTCGAAATTTGGTTAGTGCAACTCTCTCGATTTCGAAAATTCAATATGTATGTATGTTTTCAGCCTTGGAATGGTAGTTCAGTTAAAGTTTGATTTTAAATTTGCCGGAGTATAAATTGTAATTTGGACTAAAAAAATTGTGAGTCCGTACCCCATTAAGGAATATTTTCCTACCGACACGTTTATCCCGACCGGAAACAGCAGGCGTTGAAATTACGTTTCCAGCTCTAATCAGACCGAACAAAATTAGTTATACCCTAATCGGATAAAAAATATCGACGTGCTCATAAACCAGAGCTTGTTGGCTGCCGGATCATCAATTAACTGCTGCTGATAATTACATGCCGCGAGCAGAGGGATTTTATTCCAAATAATTATCTTTTCTCGGTGATTTTTGAACGGTTTTCTCTGTCGAGTCGAGCCTGCGTTCATGTAGTTGCCTAAATGCAGTCGGCTAAAATTTTACTGTGAGATAATTCGCGATTTGACCAGTGGGCAAGGTTTCTTTATCTAGAGAAATCTATTTGTTTTGAAGATGGTAGATATTCCGTCAGATTTGTTTTATTTCAACTATTAGCTAATCACTACATATTATAAAACAAAGTCCTCCGCCGCGTCTGTCTGTCTGTCTGTCTGTCTGTTCGCGATAAACTCAAAAACTACTGCACCGATTTTCATGCTGTTTTCACCAATGGATAGAGTGGTTCTCGAGTAAGGTTTCAGTAGTGTAGTCCGAAGGTTTATGTAGTGTATCAATGTATGGTGGAATTGTGTATCTTATATATGCCTACAGAAAAGTCCGCGATGGCATATGTCTATATGTTAAAGATAACATACTATCTATATCCATTTTAATACTTTAAAAAATTGACAATTATAAAGCGGTAATGTAAAAGCTATTTACACAAATACGGTATTAATCCTTATCATTTTAAATAAGTTAGAGGCTTTAAGCATTTCATGCATATTATTTTACCCTTTTACACCATATAATTTAAATGAATATCTTAGTAGTAATCGCAAAAATATTACGGACGCGAGAATAAAATTCAAGCGCCTCGCTTCGCTTGATGCGATCGCCGACCCTCCCCCCGCACCGTCTTGCCTACTGTTTAGCTAATAAGCCGAACGATAACGCGCCCGTGATCCTGATGACTGTGTTTTCTTTCTGGGTGTTGTTGGAAAGTTATAATTGCGTTCGATATTTTAAGGTCACATTTTTGTTTTGTATTTGTTGTCTTTAGGTAGTCGGAAAATACATAGATGCTTGCAAACATACTTTTATTTCAATGAGTTTTAATAATTTGTTTGTTTTTTTCTTATTGTGAATCATAGTCGCATTTTTGTTTCGTGTTTGTTTTCTTTAGGTAGTTAGATACCTAACTACTTACTTATTAATTAAAATTGATAGTCCCGAACACAGGTACTTAATTTAATTCGTTTTGTTTTCACATTGTTGATAGTTACCTTTATTGTTTTAAATTTAAAGGTTTTGCATTTTTGTTTTGAGTTCGTTTGTTGTCTTTAGGTATATAGATATATCGTGAATTATTTTAAAATTAATATTAGGGTCACATTAGATGAAAGATGATTGATTTTTTTTTGTTACGATTTAACTCAAAAACTACTCAACCAATTTTACCGAAAGCTACATCTCCTCGGAGTAACATAGGCTATTTTATATTTGCCCGTGCGAAGCCGGGGCGGGTTGCTAGTGTTATCTATGAAAATATTGCGGTTTACATAAAAAATTCACGAAAATCCTTTCTGCAAGGGAAATGTTTCGTTTTCAAACATCTAAATAAGAATTACGCAAATTCCTTTCTTGATCCTAGATCCAAACCCGAAATCACAATCTAATGTCATCGATTACAATCAGTTCAAAACTCTTAACTCAACCAGTATCTTTCCATTGTTCCAGGAATCCACATCTGCAAAATGTGGCTAACCTCAGACGTCATGTGCTGCACCGCCTCCATCTTGAACCTGTGCGCCATCGCCTTGGACAGATTCTGGGCGATAACGGACCCCATCAACTACGCGCAGAAGAGGACAGTGAAGCGGGTCCTCTTAATGATAGCAGGGGTCTGGATTCTGTCACTGCTCATCAGTTCCCCACCGCTCATCGGCTGGAACGATTGGCCGGAACCAGACGTCTTCCTGCAAAGACAAGTATGTAAGCTCACAGAACGTCAAGGTTACGTCATATACTCCTCGTTGGGGTCGTTTTTCATCCCTCTCTTCATAATGACGATAGTCTACGTCGAAATATTCATAGCCACCAAGAGGAGATTGAGGGAGAGGGCACAAGCCTCCAAGATAAATATATCCAAGAACCAATGCGCTTACGCGAACAACAAGGATAACCAGCAGGATAGGGAGAGTGTAAGCAGCGAGACTAACCACAACGAACAGCTGGAAGTCAACGGAAAAACAACCAAAGACAAGAAGACCAAGAAGAAGAAAGCCAAAGACAGCGACACTAATACTCTCAAGCCCATACTGACTCACGAAGACTCTCTGACTGACAACGCGGAAAACTCTTCCTTGTCCCAAAGAAGGAACTCGAACCCTTGCACCTCTGACAACAACAAGGGTACCCTCAGTTCCACCACCACCATAACTATCTCAAACTCGAAGCCTAGTCCGAAGGTAGTGCTGAGTGAGCCGAAAAGGCCAGGATTCGTGTATCAGTTCATAGAAGAAAAACAAAGGATCTCTCTGTCTAAAGAAAGGAGGGCTGCCAGGACCTTGGGCATCATCATGGGTGTGTTCGTGGTGTGCTGGTTGCCGTTCTTCTTAATGTATGTGATTAAACCCTTCTGCCCTATATGTTGCCCATCCAGTAGACTCATCAACTTCATAACTTGGTTAGGTTACATCAATTCCGTACTGAACCCGATCATTTATACAATTTTTAATATGGACTTTAGGCGGGCCTTCCGAAAACTTTTAGGCTTGGCACAAACTTAAAAAAATTTGTGGTTCTAAACTTACGTGGTACTGGTGATTTGTGAATAACTAAACTGATCTCGTAAGGATTTCGGGTAGTAAGTATATTCAAAATTTTTAGGGAATTGTGATCTACACGTACTTAGAAAGTTTTAAGGGTTAATAAAATACTATCATCCGTCGGCAAATAATTTGAAGAGATTCCCGTATTTTTTATCAAGACTGATTTCATAGGAAATATGTTGATAGTTTATACTAAGTGTAGGAGTTGATGTAAAAATATTGTAAAGAGATTATTCAAGTATTTTTGCTTAGTTCCAAAGTAAGTATGCAATACTACAGTAAAAATACATTTTCTTTACTCGTACACCCATGAGAAATATTAGACCGACCGAAATAACTGATTTAGAGGGGAAAAAAAAGAAAATTGTTACCTGGACTTTTATAAGTGGAAGTGGTAAAGGGGCTTATAATAAACGAAAAAAAAATAAATAAATGAGTGAGCAGGGGAGGCGGAGGGTTGATTGAAATTGTATATTTGGGATTTCTGGCGAAAGTTGACGTCATACAAAAAAGTATCCAATACAAGAGTTGTAGATCATGCAAAAATCTACAACTTTTAATGCGGTCACTTTTTAAGATAACCTCAAAATTTCCGAGAAAAATGCGAGAAACAGGTTTTTATCTGATTTTTCGTTTTTCATTTTTCATTTCCGCAAAAATAATTTAATTTTGAAGAAACTCGGTGAAAGTATACCTTTCTTTGTCTTAAATAGCCACAATTTTTTTTAGATAAAAAAATCAAGAAGTTTCCGAGATATTGATTTTTTCCGGTCTGAAACACTTTTTTTTAAAGGAAAATTCTACTTAGAAAAATCATCGTACGAGTTCTGCCGGCGATCATTTTTTTCGTTTTGACATATATTTTTTGGTGAAATAAAAAAACACAGTTAAAAAACGTGCTCAAAAATGCAAAAAAGTAAAAATTACTTGCAACAATTAATTTTTCAGTAATTGTTGATAATTTGTTTAAATTAAAAAAAAATCAAAAACTGATTACACCATTCAATACTACGGAAAAAAAAATACAAAAAAAACTGTGTCTCATTGTTTGACCCAAAACTTTATTTTATTATTTCACCAAAAAAAATTTCAATATTAAAGATTTTTCTAAGTGGAATTTTTCTTTGAAAAAAAAAAGTGTTTTAGATCGGAAAAAAGGAATATCTCGGAAACTTGTTAATTTTTTATCTAAAAAGATTTGTGGTTATTTGAGACACAGAAAGGTATACTTTCACCAAATTTTTAAATTATTTTTGCAGAAATGAGAAATAAACAACGAAATCAGAAAAAAAAAACTGTTTTTCGCAATTTTCTCGGAAATTTTGAGGTTATCTTACAAAGTGACTTCTACAAAAGTTGTAGATTTTTGCATGATCTACAACATTTGTATTAAATACTTTTTTGTTTGATGTCAACTTTCGCCAAAAATCCCAATGATACAATTTTTCACAACTTTTCAACCCCTCAAATCAACCCTCCGCCACCCCTGCTCACGCATTTTTTTTTTCATTTATTATAAGCCCTTTTACCATTTCCACTTATAAAAGTCCAGGTAACAATTTTTTTTCTACAAGTGTAATTTGGTTGGACTGTATAAAGTGAAACATATTTCGCTAAGTATATTAGGATAGTCAAAAATTGTTTAATTACCAAATAATATATTCTACAAACTGAACTACACCTACACCGTGTTCAATTTCAGGCAAAAACCACATCAATGATAAGTGACAACTATTACTACAAAACATTAATATCCATCTTTTGAAACGTCACTATTTAACTTTGAGGTTATGTCTTCCTAAAAATTCAAGTTAATGCAGCTTGAACAGAATATTGCAGACAGCTCTGACACTAAGCAACTCTACTTGGCCCTTTTGCGGTTTGTAAATACGCTTTGACAGTTCAATTTAGAATAATGAGCCCGTTTCTAAATCGAACTGTCAAATAGTTTGCAAATTTCGTGTATAGATGTCACTTGGAAGCTTCTTTTTTACATCGCCGTAGCTTAGATGTGTTCAAGGATCAAAACTAGGATAAGTATAGCGACGTAGTTGTGAGATTACATATTGTAAATATGCGCCATGTTAGATGTTAAGGTACTGTACATAGGTCGCTTCACTGTAAGTAAAATTAATGTAAGATATAGCCCTCTAAAAAATGTTGATATTAACTAATTTAGGCCTTTAATTTGTACTTACGGAGAGTGATATTCATGTGAGGAAAAATATAGGACTAGGATTAATTTATTTGAATGATTAGTATTATTTAAATAGTCGTCGATTTGTTTATTGTTTGATATAATTTTTATAACGAAAAAGTTGGAAAAGGAAATATGGAGATTTATTAACTGCTATGTCTTCATATTTACAAATATTAGGTAGTCCAGTTTGAAGTTCTTATTCCTTGTTGTAACAATTTGCAAAATAAAACTTTCTCAAAGTGTTACACAAGTTTATTTATTTTCAGTCTCCGGATTCATGGATACACTGGCGACTCGAGGAATCCTAAATCTGTAAAGTATTTACAGCGGTGATCATGGTTACCGTCGCGCAAAATTGTAAAGGCAGCAGATGCAATGCTGTCTATTGCAAAAATCAATGATGCGAGAAATACAAAGCTTTAATGAAAGAGTAATTGAAAAGTTCATTCCGGACAAAAGCATAAGAATGGACTCACTATAAAAAATAACGTTGAACACATTTTCCCTATATTTCAATAGTACTTAAAATAAAACGGCCCAATTATATTTGATTTTTTTTCAATACTTTGTACCTAAATATTTCCGCCCTTTTTCAAGAGCCGCCACTGACTGTATTTAATAATAAGCCGAGGACAATAAGATAAATCCATTTCCTATCAACATTTAAACATGGCCTCATACTTTTTTAATGAAAATCATCTTTGGCTCGGAGGTGTTTCTACACAATATAAATTGGAAAAATATGGGAGAAAACAAAAGAAAAATCCAATATCGCAGTCTTATTTACTCCAAATATTTAGAAAAATTTCTTATGATACTTTATAGTCCAATCAATAGGTAGAAGAGCTTACAAAAAATACCACATGGAAACAAAAAATATGGTGATACAGGAAAAAAATTCTAAGAAAGACAATGTTTTTTCCTGTGGCACATAAACGTCGAAGTTAACATAAAAAATTCATGAAATTATAAAAAAAAGGTTTTTCGCCAATAAAAAACAAACTTGGACTCCAATCGAAAAAAGTTAAATGAAAATGTTGTAGCTATTAAAAAAAAAAACTATCGATTCATATTTTTAAATATATCAATTGCTATATTATTTTTCGAGATAAGTATATCGAAAAACCCGTTAAAAATCGATTTTTTTTTGTTTTTGCTGTATCTTTTACAAATTACGGTTTTGAAACTTGTTACTTGCTGTAAATATAGCCCGCGGGAAGCAAAAAAAGTGTATTTTTTAAATTAAAAAATATAAAATTTTTTGAGTTACATCGATTTTTTGAAAAAAAGGTTATAGAGCAACGTTTTTTTTACATTCGCTTATTCGCCAGCAATCGATTTCAGTGACATTATCGAGAAATGAAAATCGAAAAAGACATTCAAGAAAAACGCGACCAAAAAATTTTTACTTTTTTTTTCAAAATCATCTTTGGACGTTTGAAATGAATAAAATCATTATTACTCATTTTTATTATGAAAAAACAACTCTTAAGGAAAAAATGAGCCCTGATTCGTTTCTCTACGACTATTCGTCGAGCAAGAAAAGTCGATTTTCAAGATGACCTTTTTTCGAACAATCGATATAACTCGAAAAATTTTTTATTTTAAAAAGCCCACTTTTTTGCTTGCAGAGGGCTACATTTACAGCAATTAACAAGTTTCAAAACCTTAATTTGCAACAGAGATACAACAAAACCAAAAAAGTCCATTTTTGACAAGTTTTTTCGATATATGTATTTATCTCGAAAAGTCGATCTCGATATATTTAAAAATACGAATCTATAGGTTTTCTTTTAATAGCTACAACTGTCTCACTTAACTTTTTTCGATTGAAGTTCAGGTTTTTTTTATTAGCGAAAAACCGTTTCTTTTTACTTTTATAATTTGTTTAGGCTAATGGGGGATAAAAATTATTATTATATGTGTGGTCCCTGTAATACTTTCATGATATTTTAAAATTAATGGTTTTGCAAGTAGTGACATTGGTATTGAAATGTTCATATATTCTGCTAATATAAAAACCGACATCTATTGTTGCCTCCTAAAATATATAGCATCAATAGTGTTTGAAGCCAAGGAAAGAAAAAAATTGTTAACGAAGTTTGGGAGCGCCAAAGCTATGGTAACTTCTATGAAAGGTAGGTACCAAGTAGATTATTTTCATTCATGTATTATTTTCACCAAGAAAAATAACATTTAAACCACCTAAAATAACATTTGAACACCCTAATTTCAATTTTGAATTATTTTAGAACATAATATTTTCTACCTTAACCTGTACTGGCAAAAACGTCACATCGGTAACAAATTCAAAATTCAATAAATTTTACCCACTATGCTAGCGTGCTTTGGGCATAATAGAAAATATTAAGTCGGACGTACGTTATTTTTTTTTTTTCGGTTAGTCCGCTTTTTGCTTTTGCTTCTGAAACTTCTGTACTTAAACGACATTTATTACATTAAAATGCACTGCCGCATTTTGAACGATATCAAATTATGTCTTCTTAAAATCCGCAGGCTAATTTAACCCGGCATTCGCTCCGTTTAACAAAATTATTTGGTATGCTTTCAGTTTTTTTCGTTCACACTATTATTAGCTTTGTTCCTAGAGAAATCGAAATTAGGTTTAAAATTCATCGTTTGGCGTCTAATAGCTTGCGTCTAGCTATTGGAAGCTAATTCTAATAGCACTAGGAACAAAGCTATTAAGATTCGTGCTGGAATTTTATTAGCATCTTATAAAATTCATGAGTGTAGAAAATATTTTCGAGAAAGGGTACCTACAATACCCCTCTGCACGCCACTGGTGTATGAAACTAATGTTGCTGCTAAATTTCATTTAAAAATTGTTCATTGAAATTATATTAAATCCGTACCTTCATTAATCTAAACAACTTCCTTGTACGATTTACGTCAACCTGTACTTGACAGGGCAGAAGCACCTGTCAAACTGGTACCATCATCGTTATTAATTACTCATAAAACTTATCAAACTAAGACCTCCACCTGAAGAGCGGCATAAAAATCGCGAAATTTCCGTTTCCTAATTTCCGATATACTACGACGGAAACAATTTGCAAATTGGAAACTTTTTAATTTCTCCCGTAATTAGTGTTTGCGATGTGACGTTTTAGCGGACAATAAAATCGGATTTGGCACTTTACATGGCCACAAAGAGAAGCTGTTCGGGGAATTCGTTATTTGCTTTTACAAATTAGATATCCATTGCTTTTTTGGACACATAAGTTTCACTGAAACAGGGGTAGAAACATACCCGATGATGCGATCTATAACTCATCTCATCCAGATTGTG